ACTGTTGTACTTTAATTTTTAAACGATTACCAAATACTGTATGTATTTTTCGTCAAAACATAAAAGTGTATAAAAATTGTTGAATGTGAATGTTAAAAGATTGATCACATTTTATACAATTGTAGAGTAGAAATTTAGGTTCTTTTATTTCATAGTTTTTTAAAGTTCAGTTTTAACACATATACCAAAAATGCAATGTTAAAGTTAAATTTGAAAGTGCAATTGGTTGCATAATTAGAAGAATATATTTAGAGAAATTGAAAACAGTGAATATTTCTTTATAAAATCATCATTTAAAATGAAAAGTATTAAAATATACTAATTTTATTGGAAATAATTGAACTTGTAAAGAAAACTTTTAAAAAATGTTCATTTTTATTTATAAGAGAAATGAGTGGAACAAAATTACTGCTCTGTCATTTCTATTCTACTGATCTCTACTGCACTTATAGTTATTCTACTAAATTCTCAAGTAATAACCATTTGTACTCTTCTATTTTCGATTTTTTTAGAAATTTCTGTTTTCTTTTCTAATGTATTTTTTTTTAGTTTTTGTTATATTTATAATGATTTTGATAAAACGTAAATTTAAAGAAAAAAAGCAAAAGTTAAAAAATTAAAAATAGCTATAAGTTGATGCATGATACTTTCGCTCGCTTATTAAATGTTCAAAATTTGTTTATATGTAAAGAAAGTAGTGAAGCGGTCGTGGAATAAACATCAAAGTAAAAAATAATTAAGCAACGAGCTGTCGATTTAAGGAACAACACAATATAATTATTTGGAGGTGGAACGAAAGTGCTGACTTTATATAGAATTTTTGTCAAGTTTAGCAAAGAATGTTTAAGACACATGTGACACGTGTACGGAAAGATCCTTCCTATGTGTTGCTTCAATCTTACTAAAAGCGAGTTTTAGTCTCTATCGTCAATCATAACAGTTAACCTCATAACATTATCGCAAAACTTTTTTTAGTAAAAGTGACAATGAAATCAAAATTTCACAAAGGTGGTCTATCTATTACGAGTATACTGTTAGTGTTATATGGTAAAGAAGACAATATCACATGAGCAAACTGTGTGATGATAGATCACACAATAATGTTAAAGAGTGGCGATTACGAAAGTAGTATGTTGTGAGTCTTATAACTTTATACCGACTTAAATAATCAAATTATTTTCTTTCCATCTTTATACATATCCAGCGTTAATTCATGAATTTGTTTTCTTTCCATCTTCTTTGTTTTGGTCAAGTTAGAAACATATGATTTCTTGTTGAGAAAAACCAAATATATAACTGGTAAAAAGAGTATTCGAAGGTGTGACAAAATTTAATGGGTGCACGACCCTTTTGTTGATAATTATAACTATGGAATAAAGAAAAAGTGTATATTTTATCAAACATAAAAAAGTTTAGTAAAGAGAATATAATTGTCTGGCATGTGAGATGCACGTGAGAGATGAAAGATATGGGTTCATGGGAGCACCACGTCGTCACATTTATGTTAAGAGGTACCATCGTCTCTTCGCCACCTGCCAAGTTCGCAGAGGCAGAAAGGGCCCTTCTAAATCTAATGGTCCTGCTCTATATCACGTGATCATCTTATAAAGTAATCCACCCACTATATTTTCATTCTGAAATCCAAAGCTATAATTTTATAACATGTGTGCGATCTTACGATCTGAAATTATTATTAAATGAACATGTTACCATAATGTTCATGTTCTTTTGGTGCGTGATAAGGCGTTTAAATTTAAATGTAATGTGTCAGTGCATGCATTCATGATCCACAGCTCTATTTGTAGTAAAAAAAAGAACTACACGAACGAACTTTTTATTTTATCTATAGTTTCTTTATAGTAGTGATCACTAATCTCTGAAAATACAGTAGTATCACAGTTGATCTCCTTTCAAACGATGTCAAAGTCAAAGAAACATTTTTAAGTTTCTACCACTGTAGTTTCTTTAACTGTGTGAACTATTATTGTGTGTAGATTTGAAGTAGATTGACATGAAACTCACAATAGCTTCAACTACAAATCACCTTCTCTTTTTGTCCAAACGGAGTTTCATTGTAAGTTTATCTAGAAATGACATGTCTGTTAAGCATTATCACAAATGTCATTTGAAAACAAAAAAGACATTTGTTTTACGTAAGTTTTTACATATATGTAACCAGTTTATATATCCTTGACTTGTGTTGTAATTCATGTCAAGATTTATGCCTACATAAAGAAAGATTCATACGGCTACAAACTAGAAATTAATCTCCCTATTAATATACATGGTCGTGTGAAAGTTTCAATAGCCATGTCGTACGGATTTTGTTTCTAATCGTAAATATCGTTACGAATGCACACTAACAGTTGTTAAAGACTAGTTCAGTGTGATGTCTAATTTTAGCCAATCTATCCATTAATTCCACCGAGAATCTCGTATATTGATCTATGTTCTTTATATTTGCAAGACAACATAATATTTGGTGATTGAATAAGCAGAACTTTTGAGATGAAATCATCAAGATTTAGTAGTTTTTTGTTCCTAGATTTTTTGTGTGCACAAACCCGCTAGTTAAACATATCATTTCGCCACTTAAAAAAAAAGTCATATTGTTCTCAAATTCGAACACCAAGAAGGAATCTAAATCACTTTACAATTGTTTTCGGCCTCAATAAATTTATGATCTTTTTTAAAAAGATAAATATTTATCACAAGTAGTTTTGGATCAATGCTGTAGAAAACAAGTGCTTTTGGAGCAATTTAAAACCAACTCCAAATTTCTGATTTTTGTTACTATACGTGTTCTCTTATATATAAACAATACGTTTCATGTTATAACATTTATTCGTACGTAACCGAGGAGACAAAGCGTAACAAAAACAATAGTGTATATGATTCGTCCGCTCCGCTACGTACGACATAACAATTTGAAGCCTTAAAATTCGATCAATATCTGGAAAACTATTAATTTTGAATTTTATTTATCATTATCTTTGTGAATATCCTAATACACAAAGCGAAAAGAAGTGTAAAATAATAGGTTGGAGAAATTGACCCAAAAAAGGTTATTAAAATCCGAATAAGAAAATAAAAAATTTCCTTGCTATAAGATTTTTTCTATTAGATTTTTAATCGGAATATATTAATTTGATTCTTTACAATTTCTCCAAAGAAAAAAGTAAGGAAGAAAAAAGGTAGGCCCATGAAGAAGGAAGAAGGTAAGTGGGCCACGCAAACGGTGGCGCGTGGCTCCAAACACTGTCCCCTCAGACTCTGCTTTCTTTTTCCCGCCATTTAGCCGCCTGCCACTGTATCTGGGTCCCACTTTCCCGCCCATATTCCTCCCGCCCAAAAAAGAAACTGCCACCACCTAACCTATCTCATCTCCTGCCACGTATTCACTATTGCCACGTGCCTTTTGTCTTGTGCCATGGACTTGCGAATCCCTCTGTTTCGCTCGTTTTTCAAGGTCGCCTTATTCAATTATTTTACTAGTATTTGTTTCTGATGTTAAAAATTTCGGTAAATGTATATAGTCAAAAACCTTAAAGCAATAAAAACATATTTTAACCGTCTCTTTTCTTTGCAGTTGCAGAGCAGTGATGATATACAGAAATCTTATAATATTATCAAATATGTCAGATATTGTATTTGTAATTTGATACAGTAAATATCTGAGTCCCTAAATAATTGTGAAAAATCTTCTGAAGTAGTAAAGCCGACAAGTTGAAAACAGTTTACCAAAGTTGTTGGGAGTGTCAAGTAATAACTAATAAACTTGATGACGTGTTCTTTCTCACCGCTCACCACAACTCAGTACAGTCACAGTTGAAACTAAATAAGTACTACGTTCTTAATTAAGGTTTAGCAATTACTAATTCCTAACTATTTACAACAACTACTTATCAAAGTACAGAAGTAAAATATTTATTGTGCGCTTTAAAGATAATTGTGATTGAATTATGTAAATTGCTAGTAGGAGATAGTATGTGTGAGCATCATAAAGTCGTAGGGCTTAGGATGTTGGATCTTGTGGGCTGGACTTGAAAACAACTAGGCTTTTTGGTTTAGAGCCACATAGATCTTTTGCCTAACTTTGTTAGATTATGTTGTCTTCACTATAAGATTTAGTTGCATGTGTCTCAAGACAAGGATAAAGACATTTAAAGATGGCGACAAGTTATAAAATTTAGTACTATTAAGTTTCTCAAATAGGCGTGATGATATAAGAATAATAATATTAAATATTTAGTCAATGGTTGGGTATAAAAAATCTTCATTGAGTGGAAAAACAAACTTTTTGAAAAGGACGAATCATTGACCGGTTTGGTACATGACATATCGTTGATGATATAACATTTTAAATGAATAGTAGTATTTGGTTTTTGTTTTGTATGCTGCAAGCGATTGCATCATCTTTAGGTACGAAAGCTTAAGCATACCAGACTAAAATGTAAGAAATGCAAAATGATGACACAACCATATGTACCAATGGTGACACAATCAACAATAAGGGTTAGTTATAGTTATATGGTGTAATAAATGTTAGACATACTTATCAAATTAACTCAACTCAGTTATCACTTAACTCGTTAAACACACAAGATATTTTTTCACTTTTGGTTGCACGCACCTTGATGTTAGTAAACCTGAGGCCCAACCCAAACCTTTTTGCTAACATGTGTGAAATGAATCATTAACTTTTTCGAAATTCTCAATTTCTCTGCTTCGATTTTTGAAAAAAAAAAAGCTTACTCTGAGATATTTGGGAATTGATGAAACTTATCCTTTGTCAGAAGCAAACAAATAACGAAATCAAAGATGCTTCCAAATTTTATTCAGGCTAAAAACATCATCTAATAAAAAGAAAGACAGATACTAAAACCAAACCTCTATTTTTTCTTATAATCCGAAAATGAAGAAGAATAAGCATATTTTTCCTTTCTTTAAATAATCTCATTCTTTCCCTCCCAATAATTTACCAAACTCTCACATGTAAATTAATTTGCACCGCTAATACCCATTTTCCATGACATTTTAAAGTCTTTACCAACAAGCATCTCAAGTCCCTGAACTTCAACCATCACACTCTTGTTCTCTCCTTCTCCTTCATCTTCTAATCCAATCACATAACTGTGCTCCTTCGAGCTTACCACAATCTTCTTCTCCTCGTTCGAAACCGGACTTCCATTGATTTCAATCTCAGAAGCTTGTCCTGTTCCTTTAAGTCCCAAGACACTAACTTTCTCAATCACCCATCCTTTGCTCAACGCAAATTTCCCTTCTTTAACTTGTGACCACATCTTCACAGTTCCATTTCCTACCGAAGCGTAGAAGTCAACGTACGTGGACTGTCCGTTTCCTAGCTTCATCTCCGGAAGCTCGTCCTCGTCTAGATAAAGCTTACCCGTCGCGTATCCCTCTGAAGCACCCGCCGGGAAAGTAATGACGAGGCTAAACGGCGTCGTTCTCGCTTCTTTCGAGATCAACCCGCCTTGTTGCATCGGTAAGATCGTGTTCTGGTAAAGATGAACGTTCACGAAGTTCAACGGAGCAGGGAGAGTCACGCGTTTCCCTTTCTTGGACACAACGGCTTGAGTCATGTCGAACATGTGGTACCAAGAACCTGGCGGGAACAGAGCTTCTACTTCGGTTTTGCCCTTTTCAAGAACCGGAGATACCATAAAGCTGCTTCCTAGCAAGAACTGTCTGCTCGAGCCGTAACACTCGGTGTACTCAGGGAAAGAGAAGAAGAGCGGTCTAGCGATTGGTGCACCGGTCATATGAGCTTCGTAGGTAAGAGTGTAGAGGAAAGGAAGGATTCTGTATCTCATACCAAGAGCGTTACGAGCCGATTCTGCAACCGTGTCCCATTGGTAAAGCTCTTGTCTTGGAGAGTAGTAATTAGCGTGATCTCTCGAAAACGGATAAAACGCTCCTACTTCGATCCAACGGTTGCAGAGTTCCTCTGTTGGTTGTGGGTAGAATCCACAGATGTCTGAACCAACCATGGGAACTCCGAAGATTCCGAAGTTCAACATCGTCGAGATAGACACTTGCAAGCTCTGCCACGTTCCTTGGTTATCTCCGGTCCAATGAGCAGCGTATTTACCCGAACCGACAAAAGTAGACCGGGAGAGAATGAAAGGACGTTTGCCTTCGATAGACTGTAAGGCCTTGTGTGTGGCAATGCTCTCAGAGAATCCGTAGATACTATGAGCATCATACTCACGAACACCATTGTAATGCAAAGCACTAGTGGCTATCGTCTTGAAACCAACAGGAGCTTTGACTCCAGTAGCATTGATCTTGTAAGGAGGTTCATCCCATCTCGTCTTGGTTATATTCTTGCAGTCCAAGCAACAAACCCAACCAGGTCCTTCACCACTAGGACACTGCTTCCCCTTTGGAATCGTGCATAAACCAGAGCAGAAGTTCGAAACCTCGTTCATGTCGATCCATAGACCATCTATAGGGACTAACTCATGGAAGCGGCGGATTTCGTCTCCCCACCAAGCAACCGTCTTCGGGTTAAGGAAATCAGGAAAGTAAACCGGACCGGGCCAGACTTGAGCCAAGAAAGGCTTTCCTTCATACTTGATGAACACGTCGTTGGCCATGGCTCGTTGGTATACTCCGTAGCTAGCGTTGACGCCGATACCAGGATCGTTGATCACGATATACTTCATTCCTATCTTGTGGATCCTGTCCAAGAACTTCAGTAGCTTCTCACGAGGATAGCTTATGGGATTCAGTGTGAAGTCTTTGTGTCCGTCCATGTGATCATCATCGTTCCATATCACATCGAGTGGGATCTTGGCCTTTTTGTAACTGTCCACTACGTCTTCAACAACTGATAAGTTATGGTAACCCCATCTACATTGGTGAAATCCTGAAACACGAAAAACGTAAGAAGATTAGTATAATAATGGTTATAAATATGTCACATGGCAAAAGCAAGATTTGCTCTTTTATTTTTTTGGGGTCAAAACTCAATAAATAGAACCGTGGTCCATTTTCACCATGGACCAACAATATCAAGATCAATAGAGGGACCAATTAAAAACCGAGAGGATGATAATAATCATTGATTCAAGAGTCAAACTTTCAACGCCTAAGGGAGAAAATAAAGATCAACAAAAGAGGAAAGGCACTTCACGTTCTTATCTTTTTAAATTGAACCATAATTAGAAAGCGACGTTAACTACATGCAATATCCCACAAACAAGGGTAAGTTTTTCTTAAAGTTGTGTCGGAGAAAAAGATCAGATACTCTTTACGATGAATCTCATTACTACATGTGTCAGTTGCAACACTATTCACAAACATAATTTAATTTCTCAAAAAAAAAAACAGATCTGCTTTACAATTGAACATAAATTTTTAATAGTTTCTGATTAGCAAACGATACGGAAATCTATTTTCACGTGACTGTTCTTTTGACTAACAGTCAAAATTATCGAAAACCACAGTACCACCACAAAACAAAATCACTAATTAGAATATATAAAAAGGCTATAATCGTCTTCTCTAATCTACAGTATTTAATTAGCACAATTAAATCAAAAAGCGAAAGAGAGAGAGAGAGATTGAAAAAAAAAAAAAACGGAGCAATAAATGTTGGCTTACCTAAAGACCAGTACGGCATCGGAGCAGGCCGTCCGATTAAAGAAGTGTACTGATCAACGACGTCGAGAGGCGAAGGTCCGGCGACGAAATAGAAATCGAAAACTCCTCCGATGACTTTGTAAGTCAGAGAAGTTCCTCTGTAGAACACATCCATGCCGTTGCTGTTGAGAAGCAGAACGGCGTGAGCGTAAGCCTTGCCTCCGACGTTCCTCAGATCCATGTAAACCGGATGCGAACCGTACAGATCGGTGTTGAGGTTAATCGCCGATACATCCTCCGTGTAGAGAGTGTACGGCTCGTTAGGAACCAGCTTGATCCCGTTGGCCTGAGAGTTTTCCCCTAATCCGTAGATCGACGCGTCTTTGGGTAACGAGGTCGAGATCTCGAGGTATTGATCTTTGAACACCATTTCTCCGAAAGCTTCGTTGGAGCTCGTGTTGAACAGAGTCTGGCCGTTGGATTTCCGTTTCACGGCGAAGCTGAATGGATCTGCGGTGAAGCTGAAAATCAGCTCCGATCCGGAGATCTCCTGGACTGTAATCGGAGATTTTCGGGATTTTCCGATGACTTTCCCCACCGGCGGTGGCTGTTCTCGTGGGAGGAGGTTGTACGGAACCTCCCATCGTTGCTTCCTCGCGTCCGTGATGTGAACACGGAGACGATTATCCGTCTCGTGCCTGTGAAAATCCAACGGTCAGGAAACGAAGACGCGATTAAGTAATGTAAGTGTGCGAAGCAGAGGATAGAGCAAAGAGTGTGTACTTACTTGACGTAGAGACGGAGGGTGGTGATATCTGAGCCGTAGATTTTGTTCTTCTGCTTGACTTGGAGATAGCCGATGAAACCACCGTCTGGAGATTCTTCGATTGAGATCAAACGGTAGCCTTTGCCGATGGTGTTGGAGCACTGGACGGTTGAGAAACAGAGGATTAAAGCGAAGAGAAGAAGAGAAAGAGATGAAACAACAGTTTTTAGAGAGGCCATGGCCTTTTTTTTTTTTTTGCAGGTGAGGATGAGTGACACTCTACAGTGTTACACTGTAGTAATGTGTTAGTGGAGCAAATGAAGAAGAGAGGGAGGGATTATAAAAGACCCTCTGGGTCTAAGTTTTGCTCTTTGATAAGTTTGTGAAAACACTTAACGATGATATAAATAGTAGAAGTCACACAGATGACAGATCCATTAAAGTATATTGTAACAAAAATCATTTCGTTAATCGGTTTAGGCCAACCGGTTTAACTGTGACGCTGTTTTCGAGCTTTCGGTTAGCGTATTATCGTCAATTTTTTATGTTTTATAATTTAAATATTTAAATCTTTTGTAACATTTATAAGAGTTTTGTGTGCGGGGTGTTAAAATGTTTGTGTATATTTCAGCCATTAAAGTATTGTAACGAAAATCATTTCGTTAGTCGGTTTAGGCCAACCGGTTTAACTGTGACGCTGTTTTGGAGCTTTCGGTTCGCGTATTATCGTCATTTTTTTAATGTTTTATAATCTAAATATTTAAATCTTTTGTAACATTTATAAGAGTTTTGTGTGTGGATGTTAAAATATTTGTGTATATTTCAGATTTGTTTTTCAATACACAAGAAAATCCATTAGAATTTCCTTTAAATGATTCAATACACAATCTTTTTAATAAATTAAATTTGTAACACCAGATCTTGATGAAGTGTTTGAAATTTTTGTTGGTAATACTAAATTTTAAAATTTCAAAAGCATAATTTAAATATCAGAAGCAATAGCATCTTATTTGAATACATGAATTTATAAATTTGTCATTCAGTGAAGTTGAGGTAGACAATCAGCATTTTTTTCCCCTCTATTTCTGACTAAACAAAAGTGTAGTGAGTAAAACCAAAAGATAATTGGTGTTTTTGTTGAAAAAAGGGGGAGAAAAAAAGAAGAAGTAAAATCGTGTAAATGGTAAAGACATAGAAAAACAGCTTTACTTTCTTTTAAAAGAAGCTTAGAAAGTTTGGCGCTTTTTACCAGTATTTTAGAAACATTCAAATAAATCCATTTTCTCAATACAGCTATATTAATTTGGTTTAAGTGGAAAAGCGCGGTTAAACCATAAGAAAAAATAACACGAGAAATTTCATGCAGAATAAGTACATCATAAATCAAGCAACATCAACACATAATCAATACCTACAGCAATACAACATGCGCAAGTTTTTTCTTATCTTTCCTCAGATTCTTTTTTACAAAAGTTTTACTCTGCTTCTCTCATCGAAAATCTCTTTCCAAGTTCCTGAAACTTAATTTGATAATTAATGGAGTAATAGTTTGCTAAATAAGGAAACACAAAACACATTTTTACCCTTTTTTGAACAATTTTTTTATTTATTATATATATATATATATTTTTTTTTAAAGCCTTTTTATATATAAATTATTATCAAATTAACTAGACATGTAGCCTAATAGTTTGTATTAATGTGTTTTCATCCATATTTAAATCTGGTTGAATGTGAATATGCGAGTTGTTGAAAAAAAAATTATTTTCTTAAATATACAAAGCAACGCTTTATTATTTTTCGAATGATCATATATTACTTATTAAATAAGTATTTTCTGTATTTTGTCTGCATAGTTTTATACAATATCTTCAAACTTATGCCCACGTGGACCAAATATCTTGTATTACGTTATTTGAGAATTAATGCAATGTCCAATAATCTATCAATAAAAATCAAAGGAGGTGATTTGTTTCAACGTGGCTCCATACATGTCGGTCTCTGAATTGAACCGTGATTATCGCTTGCCAAACTAATTACCTCTGTCTGCTCAATTTCGACGTTAACTAAGAAATAGTTCCTTAGAGAGAAAGAAAAACCAAACGCATACTAGCATATGCATAAACATTTCCCGCCTAAACATTCCCGCCACTGGAGATAAAGAACAACTAAACGCATACTCGCTTGTTAAACTTAGTAGCATAATTTGGAACTAGCGTAGTACTGTAAGTGTGTAATTAACAAGTTTAAGTGTCATTAACACTTAAAGAGCAAAGCACTTGCTTTTGACACAGTTTAGGTTCAAGCGCTCATCGTGAACCGCTTCTCGGGGTATATGCTCTTTAACTCTCCACGCTGCTCTGCTCTTCATCTTTTATTTAAACCCTTTAACCAAAATATTAAAAATCCTTCAGGTGAACAATACATAATTATCGACTTATCGTGTATATTGAGATCGTTGAACCATTTCTAGTCTTCAAAACCTCGTTTACAATAATGTTATTATTTCCACCGCTATCTAAATAAAAAAGAGTTTATCCATCCTGCCATGCCTGATTTTGAGAACGATATTTATTTGTTTGTAACCACAAACGAGATCCAAAGTCTGTGTTTGGAGTTTTGGACTTTGGACTTCCGACAACAGTAGTTAATGTAGTGCAAGAAAATTTTTATAATAAAAAAAGATTAGAGAGATCGATATCATGTATGTAGCGTCTCGATTCAGGAGTCGTACATTGCCTATTGTCTACTAGTACTATCACATTAGTTTGTTTTATTATGCAAATTAATTACTGAATTCACATGAAACAATTAACTAATCGCTGTCTTGATGTGAAGGATTCACGAGATCCAAATATATTTTGCAGATACATTCATCAGTTAGTTGTGAAAATATAATACATATAACATACTCTGAACATGATCAAACTCAGATATAAAAAATGATAACAATAAACTTAAAAAATGGTCGGCATAATAATAAGTACAAACTAAAATATAATTTAGTCATTTTCAACAAAAATGAACTGAGCTGATATTTTAAAAAGCAAATTATTGGATATCCATTGTAGTATCTAAATAGCAAACAAAACTCTTAAAAGTTTTCATTCTACATTCTTGTATCATTGTAGATAAAGATTAAGATCAAATGATGATATTATTACCGGTTTAACTTCTTAAAACTCCACCTATTTCCTTTCTATTTATTCGTTCTTTTCCTTTTTTTTTTGTGCGAAAATTCGTTCTTTTCTTAAGAATCATTTTGTTAGTATAACGGTATTCAACCTTACTCTGCATAAATTAATAAAGTAAAAGTGTAAACCGTATTATAAACAAAACGATAGTAGTATTAAATAAAATAAAAGAAATAGACAAGAAATGGATTTATGGGGGAAAGCATCAATGTAGTTCTCGAGGAAAAACGGCCTCACCCGTCTCTGCCTAGTCTCGTTCTCTATTAAAAGACAAATCTATATTCCAGATCTCGATCACTTCCCATTTAATTTTTTTTTTTTTTTTTGATAAAGTCTCTACTATATTGTTGTGACGAAAACAATAATTTATTGAAATATTGTTTTTGGATTAAATTCAATAAAATATTAATCCAAAAACACAAAACTTTCTAACCATTAGTAAAAATAAGTAAGATATAAATTAGTACAAACGTTATTGTTGCGTACGGAGCTGCTGACAGGCTTTCTTCGTTTTGGAAAAAACCGTCTTTGGGTTAGTTTAAGTGTAATATCGGATTATCTTGGTTCATGAAAAACATGATTACTGGTTGTGCATGGGTTTTACGTGATCATGAAGAATTGGTTCTTATGCATAGTCGGCGTGCTTTTGGGGCTTCGCCAAGTTTGATTGAAGCCAAACTGTTAGGTTTAAAATGGGCTATTGACAGTATGTCTAGTCACAAGTTAAAAAATATGATTTTTGCTATGGAGGCATCAGATCTGGTGGGTGCGATTGAACGGCCAAAAGCTTGGCCTGCTTTTCGGTACTATGAATCAGAAGTAAGAAATTTTTTGTCAAAGTTTGATAGATGGAGATTTGTATGTGAATCTAGAGAATCAAATAGAGGATCATTTCTCATCGCTCAAAGCATCACTATGGAGTTTAGGTTTCAATCATACGTTACCACTGGTCATCCGATGTGGTTATATGAAGTTTTTATTGCTGAAAAAGCGAAATCCTCAGTTTGATTTTACTCTTCCTTCCTTTAACTTTTTGTTAGTGGAGAAGTTAGTACTGTAATTTTCTTTTGAGGTTATATTGCCTTGTTAGGCTTGACTTTTAGCTTTGTATAATTAAGATCTTGTTAATCTAATATAAATTTTAGAGTAAAAAAAAATTAGTACAAATATATTTTGACAAAAAAATAATAATTAAAAATTATAAAACATATTTTTATACAGAAATAATTTACGAGTAATCTATTACTAATAAAAGTTGATGCTAAATACCTTTAATGATATACACATAGGATTTAAAGATTCAATTCTATTGGTACACATCATCATTACTTTTAGTTAATTATATATTGTATATTAAAATTAATTAATTTGTTTTAATTATTAAAAAGAAAATTTCTAAATTTTAATTAATTTTGTTTTTGTTGTTATTAGGAAGTTTCCAAATTTTAAGTTAGTTATTAATAAAAAAGAGTTTTGAAAATAGATCTTATTTTTCTATTAACAATTAAAAGGTAAATTAACATATAAATAGATTATAAAAAAAATCATATATATTGAACAAAATTATTAAAAACTATATTTAAAACTATAATTAAATTATTTTAAAATTTTAATCACGACAAACAATTAAAACCTGAACTGCTAACTTAAAATATATTAGTTCTGGTCCATGTTGATGTCTTAGGCCAATGAGAGCGTCCACATAGGACATATATACTCAATCTGATTAGTCTATATCAGCATTTTTTATTAAATATAAAAAATAAAAATATTATTAATAATTTAAATAAATTAAAACATACAAAAATATAAATTATCACAATATAATGAAAAATTAAGATAATTGTTTTTATAAAATTATCATAATATAAAATTGTTATTTAAAATATCAATGCTACCAAAAAAAACATTCATCTTAAATTAAAAAAAAGAAAGTCATCTGAAACTTATAATTTTTGGAGAAATATTTAAAAAATTAACACAAAAATCTTAACAACCAAAAATGATATTTTATACTAATTACTGAAGAGAGCAATATAAAAAAAATG